AGGGAAGTCAGAGATCCCCGCAGCATCCCGGCGCAAGCAAACTCATCCTCGACCTCTGGATCTCCGCTCCCTCCTTCACCTCCACTGCTCCTTTTACCATCCATCGTGTGGTCTCAAATCGGTGGCTAGGAGTCAAGCATGCTGTGAAGAAAAAAAAAAAACACAAAACATTATCTGGTTAGGTTGGGTTTAAAAATGCTCTTGAAAAAAATAGATTCTGACACCAGCTGATGCTCATTTTCATATCGTTGACGGACACAACAAGCCCCAACTACCTGGTCACAGCTTCTTCACTTCTGGTGAGAGGATGGAAGAATATACCAAAAAACATAACATTTAATCTTAATTTAAGCATCTGGTTCTGAGATAGGTTCATATTTATGTAAATAAGACGCCTAAATTAGTTCAATGGATGAATTTTTCAATACAAAGTCTGGCAATCGTACTGCTATGGAGTCCAATCCCTTGGTCGGATGTCACTCTCTTCAGTGTGGATGCTGTAACTAAGCAAAAATTTTAACAGGGTCTCTTCAAGTTTCACCAACTCAAATGTAAGACTTTTTAAGACCGGTATTGATGGAGTTCCAGACCTGTATCTCCACAGAAATATACAAACTTTGTCCTAAATAGACCGATAAGGACAACATTTAAGAACTGTGATAAACATTAAGGGCTAACTTAGTCTTTTAATGAAATGAAGACATTTTAAGAGCCTCATTTTGGATACATGAATTTAAGACCTTTTAATGACGCGTAGGCACCCTGTACACGTTAGCTACATTTAGTATCTGAAAGAAGTTTCAAAAGTGAAGTCAGTATTAGATGTGTAAAAAGTTATTTTAAAAGGAAATAGTTTTTTCTAGGACATGTATGCATACAGTACAGTTGTGGTTCACTTGGGCTGTGAGAGAGAGCAGGAAGGATAAATGGGGCAACACAAAGTTGTTCTGTTTTATTCTTTAGAGCATTCCACTGCTACATGCTGAAGCTGGAAATATTGCCTACCTTTGCTGAATCTCAAAGTAAATGTAAGACTTTACGGCTTATTCTCAAGGAATACACGCAGAGACTTATGTTTTTGTAATACTCGGCTTGCAAATTACTTATATTAAGTTTTAAAAACACTCACATCATATTAACTTTTCGAATTAACAATAAACCTCCCTTTTCCAGCTACTGCTCTTAATAAAATGGCAAAGTAGGCTATCAAGAAATCTCTTCAGTGATGTTCTTACAACTTCTTGTAGTTTTTAAAGACAAAACAAAATCAGCAAAAATCAGTAACAGCAGATTAAGAGATTTACAAGAACAAAAACCGAGTTTGGAATTGGCCACAAATCTCTTATCGGTACATCTCTAGCTTTACGGCCCTGATTAACATACAAAGAAGTTAATCAATGAAAAGTGATCATTTAAACAAAAATGCATTTGATTATTTCAGCTTAGTCATCACTGAATTGAACATATATTTTATAAGAGTTGTACACAGTTAAACTGCTAATAACAAAACTCAAGAACCGTGAACCCAAAGAGACAATCAGGGGACAACAATACCATATTGTACTACATTGTAATATGCTATATTGTCAACTATGGCTGAACGCATTAACAGCACCAAGCCCTGCATTTAGGTGAAATTTCAGTCATCAAAGCCCCAACCAGACACCTGAAGGAATCACAGGTCATGTGATTTTTACCGTCTACGTTTTTAAGGTGTAATAAGCCACTCACAGGAAAACTAAATAACTTTTAAAGTCTAAACAAGAATGAAAATAATCACAAATAATCAGTGTTGTGTTTATCTTCCTTTCTGAGAGGTGAAGGATGTTTGGCATCCATTTGCTTCTGCTCAACCAAACGCTGCTTAAGCAATCCCCCCTCTCCCTCAAACACACACAGTACTTATAGCAATAGCCAGCATGACGCTTTTATGAAGAAATCTAAACTGAAAGCAGCGATTTAGCTGTGGGCCTGTGAGGTAATACGGCATCTGATTATTCGGATCTGTGAGAGAGCGTTCCTGGTAGAAATCAAACCAGGAAACAACCGCGATCCTCGTGTCGGAAACACAACAACATAACTTCAGAAGAACTTTCAACATTAATCCAAGTCGTAAACATTTAATTTGGGAGGGTTTTGGGGAGGGGGGTACCTTACGTTAAGGTCGTAAGAAGTCCTGCGCGTTGGTTTCTAAGAGCAGCTGGTTGCCCAGGTCTTCCGCAGTCATAAAACAACAACAAACAAGCTGAGAGTCCAAAGTTCCGCCGCTCAGCCTCGTTGCTCGGTGGGGAGGAGACGGACGGAGACTCGACGGGGCCCACGGTCACGTACAAGCGGCTGTCCCCGGTGGAGCTGCGGGCCCGAACCCGAGCCGCACATCACATCAGCCTGCTTTACTTTCAAAACTGAAAGTAAAGCAGGCAGTTTATCTCACAGGTAGCGCCGCAGGCTCGACGGGGCTCAATGCGAGGGCAGTAGTATTATCACCATAACAGAGTTCTGCGGCTGCGCAATAAATAAAAGCAGACTGCACTTCCCGCACGTTCTCTCAAATCAGCATTTTAATTAAAAATGCGCATAATTAGCTGGACACAATTAGTTTTTTATGTTTGTTTTTAAACATATTAGGCTTATACAACACATTTATGGTTCAACTTTGAAAAGGTGCGTTTTGAGTTGTGTCAGAGTCAGAAACAATGTAAAGGGGATTTCCAATGACGTCAGAGGTGAATGTTTTGGGTCTTTTTTTTAACCCTGTGCTGCTCTCACGAACCTAATTGGTTACGCTTCTCTTGAGCATAATATTTTCCACACAACTCTGGTAAAACCGTGGCTTATGCCTTCTCACTAAAAAAGCCATTTAGGGGAAAACGGGGTAGTTCACTCTGTTAAACACAGGAAGAGACGTATTTCCTCCAGTAAAATAATTTTTTTTTTTTAAAGTCACAATGATATGGCATTTTCCTAAATCATAGCAGCATAAATTCCTTTGTCTTCCTTCAACCAGTGTGAAATTTAGGATTAAATGGTCATAAATAGTGAAACATGAAAATTCGGCTCAAAAAGTACCAATGCGAGACACTGTAAAGTCCAATATGTACATAGTGTTGACAATACAACTTCAAAAATTTCCCCTAAAAGAACAAATTGTAATACACAAAGGACGCATAAAATAAACAAAATGAGATATGTTTTAAATGTGGCACAAAATCAATTTTAAGGAAAAAACAACAGATGATTTGGAGATACAAAGTAAGTTTGGTTAAACCTGATAAAGATGTGGAATTCTGAAAAATGTAACCAAATTCATCTGAACAATGACCAAAAGAGAGAGAAATTTAAACAAAAAGAAAAAATCCAACAAAATAATAAAACTTAAATGTGAGTGGTGCCAAGAGAAACCTTGTTTAGATCTTTTGTCTACAGAAGCTTATTGTTTCATAAAAGGCATTTTTTATGAAATAGTTACTTTTTGAAAGGTATTGTGGACACTAAAATACTTTAAATCAGACTGTGAAAACCTTTCCTGAGTAAAATATTTTTTGATAATTAAGACAACGTTCAGTCTAATCTTGTAACGGTTTTGTTGCTCAATCTTTGTACATATTAATGTTCCTTCATCTGTAGGCGTAAGGATAAACAATTACAGTTATTATCTTGGACGCATCATGTAAAGTGGAACTATCCTGAGGCATTAGCTGAATATGAATCCAGTTAGACCCCTCTTCAGTTCTAAGAAATGCGAAAATAAAACAAACAGAATACAAAAGACCTATAGGCCACATTCACACAGCCTAAATCCGCTTTTCTTGCCCATATGCGACTTTTTCAAAGCAGTCTGAACGACCCAATTCCAATCTTTACACCCTTCCAAAATATCCAATCTTTGTCACTTCTATAGGTGGTACTAATTCGGATACATATCCAGTTGTTTTAAAGAGCCTGCAGTATGAACGGTCATGTTGCATGTTAGCTGACTTTTATGTCATTGATATGAGGCATTATGTGTGTCGTGATCCTGCACCAGAAGAAGCCAGACGTTGTAAATCAGGACGTAAACAATGGTAAAAAAAAAAAAGATAATTATGAACTTGTGAAGTGTGTGATCACAATGCCACCGCTCAAAGCACTGATTACACATTCAAACAGACCTCTCTACTGAATTTGCAGTTGACGCGCCACAAAAGACCATTGCTATTTGTTTTCATATTGTTAGCTTCCTCTGCTTTATGATCCTGTAATGATAATGTAGTTCCCATTGCTGAATCTGCTGCTTTGGAAGCATAAATCTTCTCTTCACACTCCCACTGTTTGTCTAAAAGTATTTTTGACGTCCTAAAGTCATGAAACCTGTCTTCTCTGGGTAACACTCCAACCTTTGAAGTGGTTGTGCTGACATACACACACACACATACACGCAAACACACGCATAGGTGGCTGTAAATGTAAAAAGTACCCTCATTAAGGACTTTCAATGTTGATTTTTGTCAGATCAGAGGTTTGTTGCTCCTGAAAACGGGACAAAAACCTCAACCCAAGTCGTTTTATCACTTCCTGAAAAAAGTGAGGCAGTGCTTTAGCTCTTACCTATGACTATAAATCTCCTGTTATCCGTTTCTTTCACCCCCTGCTGGTGAAATTAAACTAAATTCTGTTGTCATTTACAGAAATGCCTTGGAATGCAGCTAAATTTTTTAAATAAAAGGAGTAATAATAAACTGGTTAACTTCTAAGATTTGGAGGATTTCAGCATAAAATAAACTCAAATCTTTTACAATTATGAGGAAGCTTTGTTGAAGACACTCAACTCCTGAATCTGATTGCTAAAATAAGCGACTTTAAACCACTTCACAAGCTGAATAAGTTACCACCTGTAGGAAAAACAGCAGGTCTGCACAGAGTCGTAGGCTTAAAGTCAAAAAGATCAACAGGATGGAGTTATAAAACCCCACACATTGTGCAACCCGGAAGCAGAAGTGAGTGGGATTAATGGAACGGCTCAGAGTGCTTTCAGTTCTCTATTCACTAAGATCGACAACCTGGGAGATGAACGTGGGGGAATAAGAGGGGTTTTTTGCCCTCCTGAGACTCTTTCATGACAACTGAATGATGAGAGAGCAGAACAGATCCCAAAGGGTGAGTAGTCCCCCTTTTTCTTAAAAAAAAAAAAGAAAAATCACTTTGATTCATTAAGTAGTGCGACCTCGTAGTAGAAAGGTTGTTCAGGTTTGCGTTTTTAGAATGAAAAAGTTTTTTTTTTTTTTTTAACTGTCATTGATATAAACAAGCCGATGTTCAAGAGGGAACTGCTTATAACAGGTGACTTGCTCTGACTTTGAATTTTCCGCTGAGAACGCTGAGCAACAAAAGAACATGGCTTCCTACTTACAGGGTGGCATAGAGGAGAAGGGAGCACATTAGCATAGAGTCTGGGCAGATTTGTTTGAAAACTAGACATCTGAAAATGAAGCTTTGAGAAGAATTATTCTCATTGATGTGGTACAGGGAGGACTGAAGACTGAACCACACCCTGGGACTTTTCTGTGAGGTACTCTGACAATAACACCTACTTTAGATGGGAGAGGACTTGGTGAAAAACATTAACCTCAAACTGAAGGGTGAGGGGCAGGCATGTGAAATGTGCTGTGTTTCTAGTTCCCAGATTTGTTTCATTGGTTCTGAAACCAAACTACTACTGCTCCAGAGACAAGATAAAGAAGTAGCTTAACTCCTTAATGACCGACTTTAGACTTTAATAACTTTCCTAACTTTTGGCTTTATGTTGATTATTCAAAAAGGTTAAGTTTTTTCCCCCCCCAGTTTGCTGGTAAAATTCCTCATGTTTAAGGTTGTTGTATTCCTGGATGTACATACCAAGACATTTCCCTTTTTGAAGTTGAATAAAACAGATCCCACAGGCTCCAAAAATGCATAAGCATTAGCAGTAAATGGAGAATTTTGTGAAGATTGTTGTAACACTACCTGTACAGACGTTTTTAAAAGCCTTCATGCTTGCAAGTTATCTGTAAGGACACAGTTTGTTAGACAAAAATGTGTTGATTTTCATCCATTTATTTGTCAGAGGAATATTATTAACGCCTCAAAAAAATAAACCAAAAAAGGAGTTTTTCTTTATGTTAAAAAAAAGGCTAAGATGAAATTACTTTCACCCTTCTATTTAACCAACTGGATTACATGTGTTTCGTTCAGGTGTGCACCACAAGATGTTTGAAAAGTAGACCCACTAATTTGTGTTGTTTAGGCTGCATTTCCTGGCACCACGTTTTATTGACTGCCATCATAAACTGGTTGAGCTGCGTTTAGCTTACCTGCTGGGAACATCCAAGTGCTGGCTCAGTGGCAGCCTTCAGTAGCAAACAGGAATCCAGGAGGCAGCTGCCAGCTCAACAAGTTCAAACCAAAACATCACAGAATGTTTCCATGACAACCGGTTCTGTGTTTACACTATGGTACAATGATCATTTACTTAAATTACATTTTTTTTGGCTTTTATTAATTAAAACGTAAGTATAGTAGAGTTGGAGGCAATCATTTTCAGTGTTACATGTATATTTATATAATAAAAAAAGAATATGACATGTTCTAAGTTGTAGGATTGTTCCTTAAATAAAACGATGCAAATAATTCACTTTCATTCAAGATTCTGAAGCAACAAAACAAACAAAAAATCCCAATGGGGTGAATATTTTCACAAGGTATTGTCCATTTTCTATAATTCACCCATAATCTGCTGAACAGTAACATGATTATGTGAAGCCGATTAATATTTGCTAGCAGAAGGTCACTCAGTTATTTTGATGTAATCGCGGATCATAATCTGTCATATTTCATAAAGGTTAGCAGGCCAATCAATAGAAATAATGTATATTACAAAGAATCTGGAAACAGAATATAAGTAAATGAAATTATTACTAAGATTTTAGCATTTCAATATGTAGATCCAGAATTCATTTACTTAAGCTGGTGTATCTTTACATCTTACTTTCCACGCTATTTTGATTGCTTGGCATTATTTGTTTTCATATCCACTGTTTAGCTTATTCTAACAATATTCTGATATACATGTTAAAACTGTAGTCATATCCTATAAAAAATAAACATAAAAGCACCAAAAGCCATTGGAAATGTATATTAGTTTAGAACTCTTTTAAGTTTTGAGTCTGAAAACTCTGTTTGATTTAAAAGATCCCCATGTTCTCTCATGATATCTAATGGCGTCTTATTGAAATGTGAACAGGATAATAAAATCTTCAGCTTAACCTACAATGAAAGGGTCTAATGTTTTTTTCTAGTGAACCATGGCACTCCATAACAGTCCTGCTTTGAAAGTGGTTAAGGACACTGATCTAGAGGACTGGGAGGTGATCGGATCCGGAGGATTTGGACAGATCTACAAAGCCAAACACCGGCAGTGGTGTGAATTTGTGGCCATTAAGCTGCTTCATTATGACGATGGGTGAGTAATGAATACGACTGGCTGTTTAGTGGAGCTGCAAAACAACATACTGATGGGAAAACCTGCAATCACAGGACAGGCCAGGCTCTACTGCATGAATTGGACATGATGCAACAAGGATCAAACCGCCACGTCCTTCAAGTCATTGGGATTTTTAAGGGTCAATCACCTTCTTCCGGGTCGTCAATTCAGATGGGGTTGGTCATGGATTTCATGGAGCGAGGATCATTGGCTGACCTCCAGGTATGCAGCTGGTCCAAACTGAATTACCTCAACGGCTTTGAATGTTTTACAGTAAAGCTTACCATCTTGACGCAATGCAATTCCGCCCAAGGGTATTGTTGTGCGTTTAGAGACAACCCGTTTCACAACTTTCACAAAGCTTTGATTGGGTTTTTACAACAAGCTGACCTAGAAAGTCTAAGAAAAATGTTGTGGTTTGGATTGCAAGTATATAGTGGTCATGAATGAACTGCTGTAAGAGCAAGAGACATGGTTTGTGGCATTAAAAGATACCAATGCTCATGTGGCATCATGTTTAGTTTAAAACAATTTATTTACAGTAGAAAATGGCACAAAGTAAGAAAAGGAAATAAAAGACTATGGAATACCTCAACTATGTCATCTCTCTTATCAGCAAACTTTACAAGGACCCCCGCCCTGGCCACTGGCTTTCAGACTGACTCACCAGATTGCTCTGGGTATCAACTTCCTCCACAGTCTCTCCCCTCCTGTGCTGCACTTGGACCTCAAGCCCAGTAATGTGCTGCTGGACTCGGATTTAAACGCCAAGGTGAGTCCACTGGTTCTGGCAAGAGCTCCATACATTTACCCACCTGGACAAAAGTTGTTGGCAACACCTCTGTTAATAAACAAAAAATCTGAGTCCAGCAGATTTTTTGTTTATCTGCTGGACAAACAGATAAGCATGGTCCCAAGTTATTTTAGGGACCATATTTTCACTAAAATATGGTCCCTAAAATAACTTGACAGTACTTATAATAAATAAAAATCTACAGAAAATTAACTAATGAGAATCAAACATTGATTTTTGAATTATGGTTGAGCAGTCTTTAATAACACAAACTAATAAAAAGGGTGATCGTACCATTAACAACCTCTTGAGGCAATCACTGCAATCAAACACCATTTCTGTTACTGTTATGGAAAAAAAATACTGTGTAAATTGATGTGCCTTTGCTCTGGAGTTCACCTTTTAAATTGTTTTTGGGTGAAAAAAAATCCTATAGCAAGACTGGATGAGAAGAAGTAAGACACTGATCAAAACCTCGCGAGGTGAGAACAAAAATACAGAGTCAAAGGAGTCGCAAGTCCTTCGATTCTGGCTGCCTTTTGTAGGTTCTGGTCAGCAGATCTTGTAACAGCAGGGTGTCACTGTTTGTGGTGTTTCCCAACAAAGAAAAGAGGCTTGTTTGAACCACAGGTGTTAAGATTTTGATTGTTATGCACCAAGGATTCTGTGGAGCTCAACACAGATGGTCTAGCCATTTGCCTTTTGTTAAGGAAAGGGGGTCTGTGTTTGACGGTATAGGGGACAGCTTTGATCCTGATCAGTTCTGGGTCGGGAAAGTAACGCTTGGATAGTCTAGAGAATTGCGGGTTTCTTCCCTGCTGTTTTATGGCGTTGTTTTATGTATACGAGAGCAGCTGACCAATCAAACTATTTAGGTAATGAAAAGGAGTGGGCCAATGAGATTGGCCTACTCATCATGGGCAAACGGCACATTTCAGCTTCTTCTACAGATGTTCAATAGGATTTAGAGCAAGGCTCATAAAAGGCCAATATAGGAATAGTCCAATTGTTTGCTCTTAGACATTTGGGTTATGGGTCTTCCAACTGAGATCAAGCTTTTGTTTTGTGGAAAAAGAAAGCTTTTCCACTGGGCAGCACATTTGTGTTAAGAATGCCTTGATAGTCTTTTTAAATATATAATCCATTTATGGCTGGCGCTAGTGGCTTTTTTTTTTTTTTTAAGTTTTCCAACAGTAGGAAGACAGGAAAAGCAGGGAGAAGACATGCAGGAAAGGTACAGCTGCATACCTCTGCCCGCTCTACTCACTATGCTACGTGACGTCCAAATTCCTTGATAGTTTGAGATTTCGTCATACCCTGCACAGATTCAAAACATCCTGTGTCAGATGCAGCAAACCAGTCCCAGAACATAACAGAATATGTCACAGTAGGAACGGTGTTCTTTTCCTTTTTGAGTCTGTGAACATAGAGCTGATAAGCCTTGCCAAAACGCTCCAGTTTTGTGTCGTCTGTCCAAAAGGACATTCTCCCAGAAGCTTTGCAGCTTGTCAGTGTGAATTGTGGCAAATTCCAGTATCACTTTTTTTTTTTTAAATCAAATCAAACTTTATTTGTATAGCACATTTCAGGAACAAGGCATTTCAAAGTGCTTTACAACATTAAAAACAGAAACACAAAGTCATGTAACATTGAATAAACAGTAAAAAAGAGAAAGAGATAAATTTATCATGATTTCCTCTTTAGTCTTTGGCTCAAACAGCAATGGATAGTGCGATATTACACTGATGCATCTTGACTTTGGAGTTCCCCTTTAATTTCTATGTTCAACTGTATTCATAGGAGCATCAAGCTAACCGGAGATGCTTGTATCGCCTTTACCTTTATCATGGTAAAGGCAATGTTCTTTCTAATCTCCTGAGACGATCCTCTCCTTTGCTTCCTGTGGTCCATGTTCAACGTAATGCACACCATGTCACCAAACAGCCCACTGACTACTTGTCAACATTTAAATAGGACGACTGATTGCTTGAACCTTGAAGGCACCGGGAATGCTAATCTGAGGACACACATTAGTCTAACATGTCCTTATGGTCAAATTATCTCTAATCTTTTGTAGAAGTAGCATTATTTTTGTCCAGGCTTGTTTCATTAGCTTGTTGTGGTTTCTGTTGAACCACAATTCAAAAGCAATGTCAGTGTTTCAATGTTTTTTTTTTTTTACGTTTACTTTTGTCAGTTTCAAATTATTTCAATGTCATTAACAAAGGGGTACCAACAACTTTGTCTGCAAGTTAGATAAATTATGACCAGGCAAAATATAATTTTGGTGTTTATAATTCTAAACTGTAAAGATCTTTAATTAAAAAAAAAACATAAAAACAAAAAACAGATTACAAGACCAAACCTTAACCAGATTTAAAATGTATGACTAGGAACCAGCCAATTTAAGTGAACTCTGCATTTACACCAAGAAAAGTGATCAGATATCCAGTCAGAATTATTCCACAAGATTGTTAACAGCAACAGAAAGTTCAAATTTTCAAAGAGAATTTTAACTTGACATTGTTAGACATTTACTGTGTGTATGTACCTAATTCTATTTGAAGTAGAGCAAAACTGAAATTTGTGTCCAATTCTCATTTTATTATTATTCTCTAAAGTTATATGTTCTACACATCATTGAAAAAATGGTTTAAATAAATGAAAAAAAGACCATAATTTGAGTGATTCACGTTGATGAAGTTTAAATAGATGTCTCAACAGAACAAAAATATGCTCTTTCAGTCGGACATTATTCTGTTCCAAAATCCAGGGCAATCCAGTGAGATGATTTATTTTTGTCAAGAAGAGGTGTTTCCCTTAATGAAATTATTACAAACTAAACTGTTAGCCTTAAATTAATTTGATGTTTAATTTTAGATTGTTTATTTTTTTTTTATGCTTCACAAACATAATTATAAAATGGTATTAATATTACGGCCTGATTGTACTTATATCTTCTCTTTAGCTTACAGATTTTGGCCTCGCCAGGTTTTCCAGCAGCATCACTCGAACTTCCAAGAAGAACAGCAACGATACAGGCGGCACCATCAGATACATGCCTCCAGAGGCGTTCGACACTTCTTACAATCCCTCACGGGCCTTTGATATCTACAGGTAGAGAGACATCAGGGCACTTTTATTGTTCATCATGCAGTTTATGTCTTTCATTTCCAATAGGAAGTGAAAGATATGAGGAAATGTTTTTCAGATGAATTCATCAACTGAATGAAGCTCTCGTGCAATTTCCTCTTTTTGATGAAATGGCCGTGGGCTCCATTTCTTTAGGTTCTGATTCCTAGCAACAAAAATAATAAGGAGGTGAGTTAGCTGCTGCAGTAATCTCTGACTCTCTTAACCTCTGTTTCAGCTTTGGTATACTGCTGTGGTCCATTGCAACAGGAAAAAAACCATATCCAAGTAAGTTCCTAATTTGTTCCAGTGGTGAGTCATGTTTTTTCAAAAAGTCTGGAAAAGCATGGAATTTGCTTCTATCATTTTCCAGGTTTAAGTACATGTAACCATGTACTTAAACCTGTTTTTACTCTAAACCACTTTATATCAAAGTATTCACCTCCTTAAATGTTTTACCCTCATACAAATTAATCATGAGAAACAAAATTGGTCATTTTTTGTTGACAAAAAACTTTTAATGTCAAAGTGGAAACCGATTTCTACAAAATAATAATAATAATAATTAAAAAAAATAGAAATATTTTACACAAAATAAGTAGAATAAATATTCACCCAATTCAAGTCATTATTTAGCAGATGCAACATTAGGATTTCAATGTCAAAAAGTCAAATTTAGTTTTTTACTGATTTGCAAAAGCAACAAAAAGGACAAAACATCCAAGCAGGTGATTACTTTTTGTAGGCACTGGAGATCCTAAATTATTTTTAAAATGCCAATCAAACCACTAAACCACTAAAACAACTATCAACAAAAAAACACGTAAACTGTGCTTTAAAAAAATCTGCATTAGCCCTCGGATGTTCATGTTCTTTATTTGAGAAAGTTCAAGAGTTCCAGATTTGGAGATGATCTAAATAAATTCAGATGCCTCAAAATCTGTGAAATGATCCTAAGCCACTCCCCTGGATATCAGAAGCCAGTGGTAGCATTTATTGTGTCATTATTGTGGGACACACTATAATATGGTATTTTAATTTGTACTCAATGAATTCCCAGAATATTACAAAAAATATGCAGAAAAAACATCAGGAAATTTCAGCCTGGAAAATGCATACTTTAAAAAAATAAAATAAAATACACAGATGTCCTGTTTTGCAGGTTGACTTGTAATGCTAAAAAATTAGTTGGAAGATTAATTAGTGAAAAGTGAAGTGTTATCACTACTGAAGTGTTAACCAAAGTTTTAGTCTTTATAAAAATGAATGATTTGCAGTCAGCATTTCCCCTCCAAAAAATCCACACTTTAGATGTATCCATGACAACCACCATGAAATTAAGTCAGTTACTTTCAGCTTATCTTGAAGAATCAGGATGTATAGTTAACATCCCAGTGAATGCAGATCAAAGTCAAAATCACTGAGAGAGAGGATGTCCAATTAGCAACTCCTCCTGCTGAAAATAAATAAATAAATAAAATTTGACAGATTAAACCATTTGTGACTTTACTGTCACAATTTTTTTTTAATCCTTGAAATGAAGTTATTGAGAATTGGGGTTATATGGGTGTTTATACGCCAAACGGAAGAACTGAATTTGAACCACTACCAAGAAATACATTTTTAAACGGCATCATCCTTTATGCACGTTCAACTTTCCCAATTTAAGCAACTGTCTGTCCTGTGTATAATTTTCATCTTGAATAACTGGCAGGCAAGATGTAAACAAGTTAAGATTTTTAAATGTAAATTTTACCAAAGGAACATTTGTAACACACCTTCGACTCCAATCTCCGTCTTTCCTGCAGATGCCTTGTCCGCCATAGTGCCTATCCGCATCCCGATGGGAGACCGTCCTTCTCTGGACGACATCAGGTGTACGGATGCCGGAGTGGCGGGACTGACAAGACTCATCGATCTCATGCAGGAGTGCTGGCGCTCAAATCCCAAACAAAGGCCTTCCTCCCGTCGTAAGTAAAAGTGGTACAGTATGCAAAAATTAGAGAAACTGATTTAAAAAATACTCATCAATACAAAAGTGCAAATCTGTGAACTATCTTGTGTTAAAAAAAAAAAGTATGTTGAATTTGTTAACGCTACTACATAATTTTCAGCCACACAGCTGCCTGTGATTAGCATGTCCGCTCGCGCGCATTCAAATCTCACCTCATAGGTTCGTCTGGGCTTTGAAATTCGTAGATTTTGTACAGGGCCAATCAGCGAACAGAAAGAGAAGTTGTAACAGATGACATCGATTGTCTGCGGTTTCAGCAGTAGCCTGTAGTTTCAACAATGGCAGCGGAGGAAGTGAACGAAGCCGTTCAGTCTGCGTTTGCCACACTTCCAGATATTGAATTTACATCAACAGCCGTCTTGTTTGACTCGGTACTTTTCTCTTCGCGGTGGAGGACGGTTGTATTTCCGGTAAACTTTATAACGTCGAACTGGCGTATTACGTCACGGCCGAACGTTAGCGACCGGGTAAAATTCAAAACTTTATCAGAAGTCCAGACCACGAAGCAAAGTAGAACAAGACGCTGTTTATTTATATATTTTTATTTTTTTGCCAGGCTATACTGTTATACCTACATCAACACAACTTAGATTAAACAACAAAAAATAATTCCTGTTGGCAAGTAACTGAATGAAGCCTCTGTCCATAACTTTGTTCAAAAATAACCAACAATTACAAGTGAATAGAGTCAAACTAAACTGATTAAAGTATCTTTTTTCATCTGGTGAGAACAGTCCTAAGAATCTCACTAAACGTGAGATTCTTGAAGCTAACGTGACTTTGGTTTGTCGACAGAATGCACAACTGTGATGGAAGAACTGTTCAAGATGCACAAACCCGCAATTCATGATGCCGTCCACCAAGTCCTGCAGAAACTGGTGAGGAACAAAGTCAAGCCATCTTGACGTGATGTAAAACTTAACATGACACATCACAATATTATTTTTATCAGAAAATTTTGCCGCGGTCTGACTCAAGTCTTTCTCTTCCTCCTTCAAGGACCAAAATGAAAAAGAGAAGATTACACAAGGGATGACAAAGCTTTCTGTTACTGAGACTTCAGGTCAGTCTGATCACATTATTAGACAATTCCGCCTGGCTTCTGGAGGTTCGACTTTTTACTTTGACTTTTCGTTGTTCCTACAGCAGAACCAGTAAGAGCTGCAGCGGCAAACATTTGTGACAATGTGCGGACAGGACCTCCGCCGGTTCAGGTGAAAATTCTGTCAGAATGACTGAAAGCGATTGTGAAAATCAGTAGGTCAAATGACCTGGGGTCAAACCAGAGTTGGGTTAATGAATGAAAATAGTTTAACATCACCATCATATCTCAAGATCACCATCATCTTTATGGTGGGAACAAGAGAAAGGAGTGGTCTTTAGCCTAGTTAAACAAACAAGAAGAAGAAGAAGACTGCGATGCTAAGTCAGGACAGGGGAGATTCTTTGTATTGCAGCAACTCGGCCAGTCCTGCGGTGTTGCCACACTGCAAATTTTTTCTGGTGTGAGGAACTATTGTGCACATCACTTCCTGCTTCACTAGGGGTATTTTTGTTTTTTACGGGAAAGGGTGGAGAAGAAAGCAAATGTAAAAGTTATTTCAACATTATTTTAAGAAGGTGATAGAATTAAATGGCCACCTGTAATTTTGCAATTTACTCAAAACAAACTGGAATTTATGTGAAAGAGAGAAAATTTGCTATGTAAAGATGCGATAATTCTTGTCTTGTTCTGTGAGGGAATACTCATACAGTTTAAGTTAGATGTGTGGAGTCATGATTTGGTTTACAACCAACAATTTTTTCATGTCAAACATTATTATATGTGACAAAAGATTTATTTATTTATTTATTTATTTATTTATTTAATTCATTCATTCATTTATTGCATGTTTCAGGAAATAGCCAGTGTTTGGCCAGGAAATCAAGGGGACAATGCAACAGTTGAAGGTGAGAAAGACGCCGATATCTGACTCGGAACAAGCCATCTGTCATGGTTTCACATGAGATTTATTTATTTTAATTTTTATTGTTTGTTTTTAGATTTATCACCTGGCAGGGCTACAGATGTTGATCAGGCCCGCCGAGCAGCAGACCCTGAAATGAAGTCGTCCTCTGTAGAACCCACTCTTTTTCCATCCAACGACAAAGCAAAAAATCAGCCTCTGTTACTTCTGTGTCAGGTATGTCGATTATCATCAGACAGTCTGATACCTGCAAACAGTCGGACCACGTATCCGTCAGCCATGAGCTGCCATCACCTCAGAGGAAAAAAAATTGGAGTTTTATTCCCGTTATTAACTAAAACGACAAAGTGGTAGATTATTCTGACCTGGTTTGTCAGAACAAAAAGTTAAAGTCAAACAAATCATGAGATGCAACCGGAACGGGACAATCTTTAACCAGGCTCACAATCTAGTTTTACTGTATTTTTTTAAAAAAAGCTTTCATTGGAAATCAGCCCCATTCTGTAAATGAAGACACATTTTTAAAAAGCTAGTCTAAAAGAGCTAGTCTGAGTAAACCTTTACCTAAAGTTTAGCTTTAGTTCAGACTCCTGCCCACTTCTAAAGCATTTTTCTGCTGCAAATAGGTGCTTCAAAAACATTAAATGAAAGTTGTCATTTCACTAAAGCGTTCCCTCTGATTTGACATCTTCAGATGTATCAGCATGTTCGGTTCCACCCAAAACAGAATTTTTTTTGATCAGGCGTTCTTTTCTCCGCAGCGTCAGTTTTCCAGCCCCGGCACTTTAAACATTCACTGCTCCAGTGTGACTGGACTGCAGTTTGGACACAACAACACGATGCACATCAGCCTCTCTGGCTCCTCGGAGAGAAAGAGGCACCCAACGGCGCCATCTACTGTCAGCTCATCACAACACCGCACAAGTACAGCTAATCCATAGTTTCCCAGAACAGTTTTTTTATTCTCTTTTTCAAATAAAACAAGATATTTGGTTTAGCTTTTGTATGTTAATTATTTATTTCTTGTAGCATAAATGCATTTAATGCAGCTTTTTGTTGCTTTTCATCATCTTTTAATTACTACTACTGTAATTCATTTCACTTCTTTTGTTTGGAACTGGGTTTTAGCAGCGGGCAAAAACTCCAGGCCAGCTTTTTGCACAGTCACCATTAAATACAAGCCAAGACGGCTGCTGTTTTTTTTTTTTTTTTTCACCAACTGTGGTCAGAAAATATCTACCGTCAGAGCGCCAACATGCCTTAGGATGCCAGAACTTGCCTTCACAACCATCTGACTATAATTAAAAGAAGCGAACGTTTGATTCGAAGCTTTTCAGGAATGTGTTTTTAAGAAAGGTGCATAAGCTGAGTTTTTCAGTTTTTCATTGTTTTAGCGGGTCATTAGTTTCACTGAAATAAATATTTTTTATTATATTCTATTTTTGCAACAAGTTGTTTTAAAGATATGGTACATATAAATATAAATTAAAGGTACAAATGCTACTTTTTGATATATGCTGCACTATTTTTTGCTTTATTTTGTAGAGGCTTTGGAATCAGCGATTTTAATAGTAAATGACGAGCTTTAGAGATTTTTGAACAATGTGTATTATGTGAAATGTTGGAATTTAAAACATTTTTCTTACCTGATGAGTGCTGTAACTTCAGTGAAGTGTTGCAGCAGGTGAGCGTAAAATACTTCAGTTGTATCGTCTGTTAAAAAGATTATGAAACTATTTTCAGGTGCGGATGAAGATGGATTTGGTGTGGGTGTGTTGATGTGTGCTGGATTTATGCTGCGCTCCATTTGGTGAAGGAAGACAAACTTTCTAAGTTCCAATATGTAAAAATCCACAGAAATGCCTCATGACCTTTTAATTCCAACTTGGAAATTGAGAGTTGTGCCACCAACCAATGCCACACAATCCAATATGGTTGCTGCATGCATAAAGTACTGCGATAAGAGTTTATTTACCCTTCAGTGGTATATCAATAATAGTTTTCAGCCTTGGAGGTAAATGGAACGCACCATAATCCTTTTTATTTTGTTATAAGTGAACAAAATAAACTGAAAACAATCTCTTCTTTACTTAAAGAAAAAAAGTTTATTGTGATTCATAAGACGTATTAAATATTTGTGCTTACATCTGTCAGTTTTGTCTACTTTTTTTAAATAAGATTTACAGGATTTTTTTTATTTTACTATCATTCAGTTTTTTAAATGTGCTATATAACACAGATTATTAAGCATATTATATGGTGTACATTGGCAAGGAGCTGGTAATTATTCTGGTGCTGAATGTCCGGTTGTTATTTACAATTGTCATTATTCATATAATTATCATGGGTCAATAAATTTTCTTGTCCTGCTATGAGAGTCTGTAATCATTTTATTTTATGTAATATAATTTATTTCCAGTTTTTTTTTTTAGCACATTAAATTGAACAGGTCTACCATAACATGTTTTTAATTGCAAATTTCTGATAATTAACAAGTCAGTAAGTTATACATGTCATTAAATTGGGAAAAGGGGTAGGATTGAGTAAGTGTTGACTTCATCCTGCACCTTTTCAAACAGATAAGGAGCAGTGAGCTAATAATTTTGTTCTCGGTTACGTACACGCACTCGTTTTCTCAAAGATTTCCAAACAGATTTGGAAGTCTTTGACCTTTTTTCCTCTAGTCTCCACATAACGCAGTTTTGTACTCCGTACACGAATTTCCAAAGTGCTAACACAGGCCTCTGCTGAGTCCCAGGAAGCTGACACAAATCAGTTGTGATGGTCCAGCATGAACCCAGCGAGCTTCTGGCTCTGGTTCCCACTTCCACCGCCAGTCCTCCATCTGCCACCGGATCCACCGCAGAGAAAGATACGGAGGACGGTCTCTGTACATCAGCAGGAGCGAAAAATGGATGTCACAGCTATTTGGGACTCTAAAAGCAATGCGTCGGTTTTAATAACCGTAATGGATTTTGATATGTTGGTGCTTTAATGTAATGTAATTTAATGGCGCCTGAATGGGACAGTAAGAATCTTCAGGTAAACTTTCAGTCTTTTCTATGCAACTTAAAAACTTGAAGATAAGCAAAACCTAAACAAGGTTTATCTCTGGCTGAGTTAACCACAGATATTTTTTTCCTAGATACGCAAATTTCCTGTGTTCTTCTCTGTCAGATTGTAAAAGGCAACGTAGCTTAGGCAGGATTGTAATATTTAGGTACAATTTTAAAAAGTTACTTAAAAATAAACTTTTTTTTCCAATTACGATTTTTTTTAATTTTCAGTTGGTAAATGCATAAAATTGGGAAAAATTAAGATTTAATGGACATACTGTATGCTTTAAAATATAAATTAACTCCAAAATGTTATTTCTTTTACAAATAAGAGATCAGTACAGCACCCGAAACAATTTTCAGGGTGCTCTCACTTGTAACATAGGGAGAGGAATCTGAATGGACGGATGGACGGAAGGAATAAACAATGTTAACTATATGAAAAGCATTTCCATCAGTGGATATAAAGGAAATATTCGACATCGAAGCTTTAAATGTGCATATTTATTTTTAAAAATTTTAAAAACTGAGCTTTTGAGCATGCCATAACTAACACAGTCAGTAGATTCAAAATAAATAAAGAGATGGCGGTTGTTTTTGTTTTCTTTATTGTCAACAAACACATCCTACATTTGGTTTTCATGCATCAAAGAGGCTACACCGGATTTAAGCAAGCACATAAACACACATTAAGTCTGTGGAACAGATGGCGAGCCACAAAAGGACCGTGGTCATGGAAATTACATTCAAGACTGTTTGGTGCAAAGTCAATCCATCCACTCATCTAATTCACATCTTAACCTTCCCACAGTCCTAACTTGAAGATGCTCAGGAAGAGCCCGGCAGATGTCACGGTCAGACAGCAGGGAACTGATGGGGATATCTCGTCAGCCCGTCAGTTCCCGAAACCAGGAAACGCAAGGGGTTAGGGAGACTCTGCCGGGAACACACACAGGATAAAAAAGTTCCTGCAGTCCCCTTTTAGGACTGCGGGAGGGTTAAGCAGTCCAATGTGGATCCTAAAATTACAGCAGAAACGCATCCGTCAAACCCTTCTAACCCGTCTAACCCCTTTTGGGAAATGAACCAATTTTTATTTTATACAACATCCTGCCTCAAGGAAACCCTACAGTGGGAAGACCAGAAAGCCAGAGAAGGTGGAGTACTTCCACCCACCCATCAGGTTTCCCCTCTCCAGTTTAAGGTAAGCCTTGTCCCCTCGCTCCATCAACACCAGCCCTGCGTTGGTGGCTGCTTCCCGTGTCACATCCTGGTCACCTGCAAAGGCCGAGATCACCGGCCAGCCGTTGAGAACCAAGCTTACCTGGAAAGACAAGGTGAAGTAGAAAAGTAGCAAGAGGATTTGTGAAACTGCTATGGACAATAAACAAATGGAAACAATATTCAGACATAAGTAGGAGTACAGTTTTAGCTGAGACTTTTAGCAATTTTTCTCACTTGTATCGTCTGCCGGTTGTAAACCTTAACAACGTGAAAGCTGAAGCTGTAGACTCCTTTTCTGGGTGCTACGAAGATGCTAGTTGCCGGGTCAAAATGGCTGCCAACGTTCACTAAAATCTATGAGAGGAGAGAGAGAGAGAGACAGAGTTCCTCTTGATTAATAGTCAAGAAACTCTTGGCAAAGCTAAATTAGAAAAACATCTGTTGAAGATGTTTTCCAGCAGTTCAACATGTCTGCTCTTTTTTTTTTCTTTTAAATATTTTGATCTTTTAATGCTGAAGAGAGAGGCAAACATTAGGATTGGTGGGAATGCTTAAAAATAAATTAAAGAAAACAAGATCAGATTTTTTGTTTTGCCATTCATCCAGTTGCAAAGCATTACAGAAAGCAGGAGAAACTTCCAAAAGTGTTCACTGCTTTCTAACAAGCAATTCTGCACACTGCTTTAAATGACAGGCAAGATAGATCAAATAAGGATAGATTGTCCAATGGTGTTCTTTAGTGTCATGAGGTCAAATTGTGAATTATGCTAAGCCATGCATTCGTTGTCTATTCCCAATGGTGTCCACCAGGGGGCGCCGGAGGCCTCAGAAATTTGGAGAGAAGATATGAAAAACAAATCAACAAAAAAAAAACCCATTTAATGTTCTGCTGTTGTTATTTAAGTGATTATTAATAAACCTATTTTCATGGGGAGACTGCCTTGCTCCTGCTCATGATACTTTATCATTTTCCACTTATCAACTGAAGCCAGTTATACCTACAGTACTAAGATTATAGCTGTTAAAAGACCATATGCTAAATTTAAGGGCTGTAAGGTTTTGTTAAATTGGCTGAATTTATAGAGCACGTTTTTAGGGATTTTACTGGGAACCTGACTTCAGATTGTTCAGGGAATGCTTGTCTATTTGCATTTTTTTTCCACAAAGTATGTCAGAAATATTTGAAAGAAAATGCTATGGACTGGTGTTACAAAACTGCCAGTCCATGAGCAGCATTCATTTTCCTTAGCGTGGATTGTTTTTACCCACAAGAGTGGAGATAAGAAAGATGGCAGTTTCTACTGAATGTATTCATGCATATTAAGGTATATTTGGTGTTCGAACTATTAAAATAGGCAGTTATAAGTGTTCGTAGAGGGTGCCTCAAGTATTCATAGAATTTTAGCTATTTGTGGACGGCTATCATCCCTATAACCCCCATGAATACCAGGGGTTCTCTCTATCAATTTGTAACTCTGCACCTTCCTGCATATTATTTCAACCCACCTGATCAAAGTAGATAGTCATGGTGCGGTTGCTCATCTCGGACGGCTCATGGTTGGTGTTGCGTATGGCTGAAAATGCCACCCGACCCGTTCCTGACCTCACCGACATGCCCAGAGCGTTACCCGATGGCTCCGCCGATGGCGTGGAGTCGCACACAACCAGACACTTTCCCTCCAACACGATCGGCTCAGTGTCGTTCTGGCAGCTGACCCCCGATGGCCCCCACTGGCCAATAAGGAGCAGTCCGACAAGAAAGATTAATTGGGGAACCAAGGAAGGCGCGGGGTTAAAAAATGGAAACGCCATAGTTCCAAATTAGGTCAAAGCTTCAGTGACTTCTTGTGGTGCAAATCTGCTTTAGCTACAAGGCCATGCTTCCACCAGAAAAGAAAACACACCCCACGGGATCCCCTCGTGTCATTTAGTGGCTCAGGTTCGCTCTGGTTGAATTTATATTCCCTTTGAAGATGTCTTCTAGTTGGTATCAAGATGACAGGTTTTCCATTTCAAACGATCCACCAATGAAGGGGAATGTGTCCAGGTCCCGATGCGACAACAGGTCGCTGGGGTTGATGGAAGAGAGTCTACAGCCTGCGGCCTGTGAAGCAGTGAAACATGGGATGTTTGATAAATATGTGGAATCCTTTGATTATGAAAAACTGTGAAAAATATCCTTGATGCATACAGCAGATAAACGTACTATAAGTAGTGTAAAGATATACATCCTGCTTAGGTATACTTGTCCATTCTATCAGATTGTTTCTACTTGAAATGGAATCATAAACTGTATAACTAAACACAGCTCATTTTCAGAGAGTTTGTTTTCATTTTCTTTGAAAATACATCACATTTCATTTGATGCCTCGTGTCAAAACAAAATCTCAATCACAAAACATGCTCTATTTTCAGCACATTGCTAGATGTTGTCATGAACGTAGCTCTTCAAGGCTTATTTGTCTGCATCCGATCAATCAATCATCCAACCAAAAAAACCAGTGAGTAATATATGACTGCAACATAGAAACCAGGCACTGAAATGAATAATTCCTGTTATTATCATCATCATCTATAAATGGGCTCAAATTTCCTACGATGTTCTAGTAAAACAATTTTTTAAAACTAGTAAAACACATTTCACAATGAGTAAAACCTGACTATTAATAGAAGCCAGATTACATGGAGGATCAAAATAAGTGATTAGGTAATGTTTTGGCCACGAATCGGCCTGCGTCAGCGCTGCCAGCTGGATTCAGGGTTCGGGAACGTGGACGGTCAGAGTGGCACCACTGAGAGGCCATCTGTAGGTAAAAACTCCCACTCTCACACATCTTTCCTGTTTGATCACGGAGTCCGCATTCCTTCACATCAACACTCAGCATAAAAAAAGATTAACCTAATCTTATCAGAATATTAAAAACACTAAGTTTTGTAAATGATTTAAACAAATGATGCATTTTCTGCAGAAAAAAAAGTCATTGAATAATTTTTCAACGAACCACTAAATTTCCCATCAACATTGTCAACACCAAAAGCCTTTCTGCGTTAAAAAACCCCAAAACATTAAGACATGCTGAAAAGACTCAAATAGCTTCACTCACCTACTACATCAGACAGTAAAGGTAGCTTGTTGTTCTGGGAACATTTAAAGCCTCCCAAGAGTCTCCTTCAGCCTTTACCTCAGGTTTTATCTCTGCTCCTCCTCTTTTTATTCCCTCTCTCTGCGACTATCTCTCTGTTCCAAGGACCCCTGTGTTCAAATGGACCTTTAATCACATCAAGCATTTTCTGGTTTCATGCCTATTCGGCGTCCTACTGTACTTGTACGCCCTTCTTTATATCCTCATTTCCCCCAACATAACTCTACTGCCAGTGGGCAAAGTAGGTGGTAAGAGCAAGAGCTTTAAAATTTCCCATAAAAAAATTTTTTTAGAGGGCATTTGTGGTTATGTTCATGTTTTTCTCCCTTTCAGTTGAGTTTGGATTTACTATAGTTTACATCTTCATGTCTGAAGTGGAAATGGTGTACAAAATGTTAAAGGAAGAAAGTGGGCATCATTCTGAATTTTTGATTTTCAATCATTTAAGGTTCTTGCCCTATTTTACCCCGCTGATCTTTGTCCATACTTACCTTGTTGGGCCCTTGGGTCTGCCAAAAAGCAGCTGCTGCAGGTACCAAGATTCAGGAGAAAACTCAAATGGAGCAGGGCCTTTTCTACTGTTGTCTATTGTGACCTACCTTTGCACAGTAGAGGGGATTGTTCACTCCCTACTATCAAAATTGCCATAAAGCTGTTTTTATTCCCCAGCTTTTAACCTGGATTGTTTTAATTAGTTTCATTGTGTTTATTGTTTTGGTTGGTTTTATATCATATTTTAGCACATAATTTTTGAATGTATATTTATAGTATACAGTTACTGAAACATACATGCGTACATACACTACATGGTTGTTTTAAAGTGCTTTATGAATAAAGTTGCTGTTGTATAGCGTAATGTGGTGCAGTATGGCATACTATGATATACTATGGTATGGTATAATATGGTGTGATATGGTATACAATGGTATGGTGTAGTATACTATGCTATGGTATGGTGTGGTATAATATGGTGTGGTGTGGTACAATGTCACCAAAAGTTGTAGACCAACACCAAACTCAGACATCAATACTTAACACAATAGGTCATATTAGTGATGTCAAAGTCTCCATCTCAAATGTGTATTTTTAGGGTGAATAATTTCCTGGGTATTTGTCCAGTGGCGAAAAGTAAAATTGCTTTCTGAGAGAAGTAGCTGGTGTATTTCATAGATCAGCATCTACCCACTGAAGCCTGGTTAGTTTCCTCACAGCAACGTCATTTATCATTGAAAGGTCAGCTAATGATAGTCAGCAGGAAAGTCTCTCAGTCATTACACTCAGACAATGAGAAAATGTGATTCACCGCTGCACTTAATTATAATTAGTAAACACTGATGAAGTACATTTAAGTCAACAGTAATTGGTTTATTTTCATAAAAGAATCTGCAGACATCAGCAGATGTTTCTCTTGGACATAGAGTCTACTCTGGGTAATAACCGCGGTGTGACAAAACATGAGAAACATTATGCTCACAAACATAACCACCTCAATGATCTGACTGCTGACTCATCTAGAAATGTCTTTTGTCAGTGGCATAAATTGTTTCGTATCGTTGCTCCTCAGTTTGGAGTTTTCTCTTCCTTCTGAGCCAAGTTTCCAGTTTCAGTCTCAGTCATTTTTCTTGAGATGAGGATCTTTAGGGGAAAATAAGAGAGCTCACCAAGACCATTTCTGTTTTGCCAGTTTCAAGCCACAACTGCCTTCAACATATCCTCCTCACTAATGATTTTTTTTTCTTTAGCAAGGAAAGATTCAATTTCAATATTTACAGCATTTCCTGCGGTTTCAGACAAGTCATTAAAAATTAATATGTTTTTGGACTGTGAGAAAAGGGCCACACATATGCACATGGAGAACATGCAAACTACATGCAGAAAATAGAGGAGCAGAGGAGACAGAACAAGTTGAGACATAGACAAAAAACAGAACAGCAGGACAACTTTCTGATTAAACCTCAGAACTCACTTTTAACTTTGACATGATGGTTTTCTCCCTCTTGCTCCCCCTCGTCTCGCTGTAGACCTCACATCTGTACCTCCAGTTGTCCTTATCTGTGGGCTCAGACTGAGGTCTCCAGTTTTCAGCAGGTCATATTCTACTCTGTCCGTCAGCAAGACGGACAGAGTCTTGCTGAATCTGTCCGTCGGGTTTTTCAGTGTCAGACAGAGGAAGTCGACCTTCTGCAGCCATTTCTTCATCATCGTTCGATCCGTGTAAAACCAATGCTGCTGCTCAGGCCGGTCGCAGCAATTATCATACACATGGACCTTCCTGTCTTTGCTGCCCATCCACTCCACCCTGCTGTCCTCTGGAAGGAGAGCGATGGTGATGCAGGGCAGCAGGACAGACTCCACCTCTGAGTTCACTTCAAGTTTTGGAACTGAAAGGATAACAAACCTCAGCCTCTGCATTTGCAATGACTACTCTTTGTACTCGTTTACTCTTTGTTGGTCCTGTGGCGCGTTTACCAACCAACTTCGTATTTAAACAAGAAGTTTCAATATTTTTCTTCATTTAATTATCCCTTGCTTGTCTTTAAGTATCAAGCCGAGACATTTTCTCACAGCTTCATAACCACCCACGCCTGCATTTCCAGCTGTGACACATTCCATTAAGCAGTTTCTATTTCTCCTTCTCCAAACATGTTCTGGCATTGAGGTGTATGAAGCCATGAAGCTGTAGGTGACATTTTATTTCGTTCTTCCTACAGGCATGTCTAAAAGTGTCCAGAAACGATTTAGTCCAACCTTGTTCAAATTCGGGAAACTGCTTCTCTTAAGTTGATATACAACATCAGAGAGCAGCGTTCAGTTATCCAACAAGTGTTTTCTGGTAGGACTGTCACGAAATATAAATCAGATTTTTACTTTTGTGTTGAATGTGTGTTTTACAATATATTTACCACAAATGACAAACAAAAAAAACTTTTCTGCAAAATTCACCAACTGCACAGTTCTTGTTAAAGAGTGTAAGATAAGTCGTATTTCAAAAGAGCAGAAGAAATCTTATGTTTTTGAACAATAACATTTTTTATTGCTAATCTGTTGCTTGGAGATGGGTGTGTTTACTAGTAACCAAGTGCCACGAAGTGAACATCGGATTTTTACTTTTGCAAAATGTACCAACGGTAAATGTCTTGTATCTAATCAGGTAAGCATTATTTCGAAAGAGCTTATGTTTTATAAACTATATAACTTGTTATTAATTTGGTTTTAAGAGACAAGCGGGTTATGTTC